GATTTCATAAAATTCCAGTAAAATTTCAGGAAATTCAATAAAAATTTCAAGCAGGGTAGGTATGACTTGACAAGCTGGTTCTAAGATTTATATGGAAGTACAAACATCTAAGGATAGCAAATACACTCCTGAGTACAAAAGAATAGGTGGGTGACTTGTCCTGTCAGGTGTCAAGATTATCACAATGATAAAATTTGTAAGCTCAAGGGTGGTGTCTGTCTGAGGTAGACGAAGTTGACCAGTGAAACAAAATGGAGATCCAGAAACATCCATGTGTATGTGGAAACCTAATATATGATGCCTGTGTGCTTTTAGATCACTGGGGAAAGGATATCCTATCTAATAAAAGGTGCTGGGCCAATTGGTTACCCACAGAGAAAAAAAAAATTGGATGCCTACTTCACAAAACTCAAAAGTCAACTTCAGATGATTAAAGATCTAATTGTGAAAGGCAAACCTACAAAATGTTAAAGAGACTGTGAACTTGGAGTAGGAAGGGATTTCAAAATGTTCAAAAAATTGCTAACTTAGAACACATTAAAATAAGAACATATGTTTATGAAAAGTCACCATAAAGAAAGTGCAAGCAAGTATCAAACTGGGAGAAGCTATTTGTGCACGATAAACAGACAAAGGGTTAATATAAATTTTTACGAAGAATTTCTACAAATCACTAAGAAAAAGACAAAAAAATCCAGTAGAAAAATTGACTACATATTTGAATAGGTACTTCACAGAAAAGAACAAGGGAAATAGGCTAAGTCTTATTAGTAATCTGAGAAATGGGAATTGAAAGCACAGTGCCCTCTTGATTAATGAAAGTTAAAAATCTGAAAACCCTAGGCGAGGTTGTAGAGCATTGAAATCACATTAATGGCTGCTTCGGAAAGCAATGGCATTACCTGGTAGAGTGGAAGCTGTGCATACTTTTGAACCAAATATTCCTAAATTAGGTACATATGCTAAGAAATATTTGTACAAAGTGTACAAGGAGATACAGACAAGAGGGATTCTAGCAGCATTGTTGGTACAAAAAGAACTAGAAATAATGCAAATGTCTATTAGCAATAGACTGGATGACTAAATGGTGGTATATTCATATAATAGCATACTACACACCAGAGAAAAGGAGTTATAGCTACTCACATCAGCCCTGTTAGATCATAGAAACATAATGTTTGGTGAAAAAAGTCAGTTGCAGAATAATTCATAAACCATGATTCCATTTATATAAATTCTCCAAACGTTCAGAAGTAAACAATATGTTGTTTAAAGATTCAAATGTGATAAACTCAAGAAGAAAAAGCAAGGGAATGATAAACAGAAAATTCAGGAAGGTGGCTATCTCTGGATAGGGGCTGGGAAAGGGAGAAGGGTGCTATTAGGGAAGTATCCTCAAGGGCTTAAAAAATTCTGATTGTTTTATTTTTTAACCTTAATGAAGGGTACTCAGATGCTTCTTATTTCACCATCCTTTGTGTGTTAACATGATAAAAATTCCTTTATATCAGCTCACTATTCAATAAAAACAATCCAAAGAATATTTGATAAAAACTCAGCTGTAATGTCCTTAGCCGATAAACTCTCCCTTCTTTAAATTCTGAATGAGTTACTGTTGCTGCTGTTTTATTTTGCCGCCTGCAATTTAGGGATTAAGCTAAGCTCACCTAACAAAGAAATTTGCTCAGAGATGAAAAAGAATTCCTTCATACTGCTCGTGTGTGGAATGGAGGATAAGGATAAAAATCAGGGTTTTGCATTTACAGATGATCAGAACAAGGACTGTCTTTGAATTCAACGAATGAAAAAAATGCGAAATTGACTTCAACTTCCCTTGAGCCATAAGACATTTGGTTTCAGAATTTCCGGTGGACTTTTCCTTCCACTTGGTTGCTCTGCCTGTCTGTAAGCTATTTCCTGATGTTCCAGCTTTTGAGGAATCCCAGGGAAGCCAATATCCTGACCAGCTTGGCTGTGGTCTCGCGAAGAGGTGGTGTGGAGTGGAGCTGAGGACTTCTGGTTGCCTGGCCTCTGGGATTGCTGTAGGAACCCAGCTGCAAAAGCCAGACCCACAGAGGCCAGGTTTACAGAATAAGAAAGTGAAGGTGGAGCAATTACCAGCAGTTCTGGGCAGTGCTGCCAGACAACGTAGGTAATTTATTTCCAAGTAATTAACTTGAGGACCTTAATTATCTGGACTCATTATCAGCCATCATCACCTTCATTATCACCGTGATCACTGCCACTAAGAGCATCTTAAGAGAGCAATAGACGCTGTTCCAAATCACTTTTAGAATCTGAGTCCTATCCTACAAGAGTCTTGACTTAGGCAGTGAAGGTGAAGGTGTGGTCAAGGGAGAGGTACAGACGAATGAACCAACATCAAACTAAGGATACTGGCTTAGTAGCAGATTCTGTTGCTGTATCCATTGGCTGTTTTTCCACTTGCCTTTGACTTTCAAGGCTAAAACCATTCAGATGGATTTCACAGGCCTTGGCATTTCTACCCCATAAATAAAGCTTGCTGAAAATTATTTCTTATAGTCAATATGTAATTATTTTAAATCTCCAAGTTATTGGAATCATAATTTGAAAATAAAAGAATGAAAGTAAGTAATTTAAGAGTTTCATATAATTTTAATGGTGTAGAATATGAAGCTAATTATTGGCTACCTTTAACTCCACAAACATTGCCCATATATCATATCCACATGTTTACTATCTCTCCTTTGATATGCAATTTTCAGCTGTAACTTAACACAGTCTCTCCCCTGCAGGCTTGGACCTTGACTGCTGCTCCAAGTTTCTCATGTTTGAAAGAGCCCATGGGGGCGCCTGGGTGGCTCAGACGGTTAAGCATCTGCCTTCGGCTCAGGTCATGATTCCAGAGTCCTGGGATCGAGTCCCGCATCGGGCTCCCTGCTCAGCAGGAAGCCTGCTTCTCCCTCTGCTTCTCTCTCTGTCTGTCTCTCATGAATAAATAAATAAAATCTTAAAAAAAAAAAAAAAAAGAAAGAAAGAGCCTATGTAAGCTGTGGGATGGATGCAGGGGAGAGAATATGACCTTGAGTTCAAATTCTGATTCCATCACTGGCTAGTTGTCGGACCCTGGGAAGTTATTTAAAATCTCTGTGCCTCAGCTTCCCCATCTGTAAAATGGACACAATAATCTCTATCTTATAAATTAAGAGAGCAGTTTGTGTAAAACATGTAATATACAGTAATTGCTTCTTAGGTGTTAATCTTTTTGTAAAGAAATTGTATATATATATATATATCAAAATATACTTAATTAAATTATTCAATGAGAATAAATAGAAGGTGAAATAAATCACACTTCACCTGCTCTGATGAAGTCTTCAAAACCTCAGACAGGCTAGCCACTGAAAGTCACAATATTGCTGTAGGGAAACAAAACCTCTGCCATTTTTCACCATCACACGTTGGTGGGCTTTTTTCTTTTATTTAGGAAATGAGATGACATGCAAAATATGGAATTTTCAAATGACACACCAAGTTGTAGTCTTATAGTAAAGATCTTGCTGAAAGAGGATTCACTTACTCGGCTTGAAAGCAAATGAAAAATAACTTGATTAAGCATTGAGAAAAAGCATGTGGAAACCTTGAGATGAACAAAGATAGGGAATTTTCAGTTGATCTTGTGTTGTGATGAGCACTAGGACTTTGTTCAAATGCTAGTTGCCTTCTGGGCTGTAATTTTACTTAAACATCATATCATTATTTTTCCCATAATTAAGATAGTATAACACATTACAAAGGACTTGGAAAATGGAGAAGTGAAAAACATGTTTTTCCTTCACGGCTTTTTCCTGTGTATACATATTTTTGTTGCTGCAATCATAGTTTGTATGTAATTTTTCAACTTGATTTTTCAGTTACTATTATGTCAAAGCATTTGTAAGTGCTAAGTGATATATTACATTCCATGATTTATTTAACAGATTTTCTATTATAAATACTAAAGTTGCTTCCAAGTTTTTTTTGCTGTTATATATAGTTAATTCAAAGAACAATTCTGGTTTCAGAATTTTTCAAAGGATTTCCTCTCTAGGGTAATACTTTAAAAGGAAAAATAAAAGTACCAGTTCTCAAAACTGCATTCAAGTAAACCTCCCTCAGGTTCCTTCTTGTGTCCAGCATCATTTATCAAGCCTGGTTTCTATTGGATTCTGCAAAGTTGCAATATGCTGGTATAGATAGTGGTGTTTTAAACTTCACCAAATCCAAGAAATAGTGTAAGGTCAATGAGAAAAGAGAGAAGGAGAAGAAAATAAATGGAGAAAAAACCGAATATTTAAAAATGGCCAGAGAATTTTATGAATGGATTTATTCCCTAAACCCAGGTGGGGGTGTGGGGGGGGGGCTGGACTGAGCTGTGTAATTGTCATTTTGTCTTTTATGAACATAGCCTTTGCCTTTCAATCTTTCTTCTCAATCCTCCATTCCTCCCTTACCTGAGACTATTCTTCTAAGGACGTTGAGGGCTCCATGGACTTGTCCATCCTCTTTTCATCCTTACATAGTTTCTGCTTTCCTTCCCTGCCATATGTCCTTGAAATGCAACTTTCATCATTTTGGTTCAGTATTTACTGAGCATTTACTGTGTGCCGGGTGCAGTGGTGGGGGCTGGAAATTCAAAGGCGAGTAAACCACAAAGTCTGTGCTGGTCAAGATGATGGTGGGAGGCTGTGAGTGAATGGATATCTGAAAGTAGGACTGGAGCTAGCCAAGTGTTGAGTGGGTGTGGATGTGCATGGGTGAAGCGCATTTCTGACAAGGAACAGCCTTTGCAAAACTGCACAGAGAGTGCAAGGGGAAAGGCCAAAGTTTCAGAAAGCCTACTCCCTTGGTGTAGAGCCCATCCCATGTTAACACTTGTGAAACACAAAGCTCAGTTGCCTCATGCTTTCCTACTGGCATGCTGTCTGTGTAGTCAGGTTAAATGATTCTGAAAAGCCCCCCGAATCCCCGTGATTTACCTTTTCTCATCATGTCTGTAAGATGAAGAGGTCCGGCCACTGGTCCATATAAACATCTTAGAGGATGTTGGTCCAGGGGCTCCTTTCCTTATGGTGGAAGTCCTGGAGGAGTGGTGGAAAGACCTAGACGGGAACACACTGAAGTTAAATCCATTACCTTAAGTTTGGGAACTCTGTATCAACAGCAACCAATAGCTTTAGTGGACTGACTCTCTTAAATAAGGTTTCTGTTGCTACAGAGCAGTGCTTCTTAAACCTGGCTGCACATTAAAATCAAGTTTTTCAAAAGGTTCCTCGTTGTTTCTAATGCACTGCTAGGGTTGAGAGCCACCGCCATAGGGAAACATGGCTTTCTAATTGGTGTTAACATCATATTCCTTCCCCACAAATCTAATTTTGGTATGGTTTCACACCCTGTACTACACTGTATTTTTCCAAAAATTTGGTTCAGATTTAGATACTAAAATTCTATTTCTCCTTTCCTATTCAAACTGTTTTCCTTGATGCTGACAGATGTGACATATTGGTGATGAAACATCAACTTTTAAATATGCTCTGCTGTTGCCAAAGCTGTGGGTTTGTTCCATGGTGGCCGAGTCTCTGAGGAAGTCACAGAAGCAGAAGACCAAGCAGATACTCTCTGGCTCCCGGAGGCCAGGTTTATAGGATCCAGAGTCAAGCTCTTGGAGGAATGTTGTGTTCTCTTGGTTAGGATTTGGCTTATGGGTTTAATTTTTTCATCTCCAAGCATAGCACTAAAAGTAGTTAGCTATTATAATTTATTTTCTACATAATAGTCATTTTTTAGGGATTTAGAAACATGAAATATCATAGAATCATAATCACATCTGAAAGTTAAAATAATATTGAGCTAATGGAACAAAGGAAGGAAGGAAAGTGATTTCTTCATGATTCACAATCACTTGTGGCTTTCCTTTTGGTTGAACACTATATTAACGGGAGGCATGAGACTGGAAATATTAGCTATTATATGATATATTAGCTACTACATGTCAGGCACTTTGCATATATTATTTATGCATATATCATGAGATGTATATGCATACATTTATGTTGTGCTGATATTATGAAAACTGCAAGGTGGATGGTGCTATTATTTCCAGATTACAAATGATGATTCCAGGAGATTGAGATATTTGCTCAGATTTAGAAAAAGTGAAGCCATGCTCCAAAACCAATGTCTGCCTGCTTCCAATTTTCATGCTCTCTGTAGAAAGATATATTATGGTCTTAGCCCAGTGATTCTCAAACTGTAACATGCATATGAATTACCTGGGGGATTCTGATTCAGTGGGGTCTGGGGTGGGGCCTGAGTTTCTGCATTTCTAACAGCTCTCAGGTGATGCTGATGTTGAAGGTCTGCAGAAAACACTGAGCAGCAAGGGCCAGAGCAATGGTCTTAGAGCGAGTGGTTGGCTAGAGGCCCAATTTTGTCACTACCTAGCTGTGTGGCCTTAAGAAAGTCACTTAACTTTACTAGGGCTTGGCTGTTTTTAATTTGTAACATAGAAAGTGTGAAACAGAGAACCTTTACGATTGCTCTCAGCTCCAACATTTTGTGATTCAGTAAATAGTAGAGTGAATCTAGGCATATTCAAGGCATTGTGTACCGCCTTTCTGGGACGAGGTCTAGGAATAGATCTCCTTCTGCAACCCTGGGGTCAGCATCGGAGATAGAAGGAACAGAGGCCAAGGGGATAGCAGGGGCTTGGTAATCCGTATAGATGCAAGAAGTCATCCTCCCATCCCCAGTCTCCTAGGATAAATGGTGGGAATTAAAGGATACACCTAAATGGATGCCCTCACCAGTTTTAGAAGGGCTTAGAAGTCAAATCTGCTAGCTCTTTAAATGACTTGGATCTGAGATATTTAAAGTTGGTTACGTTCCTTTTTGAAGATCTTTAAAACATATAAAATAAGATAGAGATTAAATCCATTATTAAAGCCAGTTAGCCTTCAGGAAATAAGAATGATTTGAATCTACGTTGAATGACCTACTCCATAAGAATGATTGACTTAAACTTCCAGGAAGTTATTTCAACACTGACTCTGGCGGAATCTTCTGCTCACCTTAGTCATTCCTAAAGGACTAGGGATGTGGAGTAGATGGAAAAGTGACACAGTCTTGAGTTAAAGTAAAGCAATAAATTACTGAGGTCCTGCCTTGTTACTGGTTATTAACCAGCATTTCATAGACACACCATGCATATTATAAATGCTTTGAAATCATTCCAAGGGAAAGGAGCTGCAATGATTTTAATATACTTAGGATACTTTCAGACTATGTGTCATTATTCTAGCGTGGCACCCTTGCTCTGTTGTTTTAAGATGATATGGAAAGGGGAAGACGAAAGATGTATTCATTCTAATTAACTGTCTAAAGCTTGTTGGAAAGGACTTAATGACTCCTCCAATAAGTGGATTTGGAGTTTCTCCAGCCCAGTTTTCTTTCATAAAGACAAACTATTATTTAAACCCTGCTAGGTTTGTTGTTAATTAAAATGAAAGGGAGTAGCTGCTTTAAGGACAACAGTATAAAGGTTCTGTGGAAGGTGAAAAAATTTCCAGGCTTCAAAGAAACACCCAGGATATGTTAATGGAAGCTGGTTTGGAGGTTTTCTTGGCTCAAAGGCAGTCCTCTTGAACTGTTAAATAATTACCTCAACTCCGCTCACTTTCTAAGACAAGGAACATCTCATTTGAGTTGTGATTAGGAAAGTGATAAAGAGACAAAAAAGCACTTTCTACAACTTTGTAATTTGGAATCCTAGCATCAGCAGAGACCTGCGTTAGCAGAGGCACGGGCTATGGGCAGCGGGAGGCAGCCTGGATCCAATTCCATCATGAAGTGACCTAGGACTTTCAGTGAACCTGGCAGAGCCATGACCGTATGACTACAGACGAATGAAGTCGGAAAACCAGCAACCCTAAAAGACGCCATCTCAGCCTTGGATGAAAGCAGGTTATCCGCGAGACTGTAACAATTTCTTTGGGTCAGGAACCTATAAAAGGCCTCTTTCCATTGCTCAAGCACACCCCTCATGAGTTTCTACTTCCTTGACTCAGTTTGTGCCTTCTCTCGGCCTCCCTTCCCCACCTGGTGAATGAGAGCCTTTGTTTCCAGGGCTGGCTCAGATGTCACCTCTTCTGTGAAGCCTTTCTTTGACCCAGGTTGGCAGCTTCCTCTGCTCTGCTCTCAATTCTTGGTATTCAACCTCTGTTAGAGCAAAGCATGCTCTATCCTGCTTGTACACAAATCTGCCTCCCCTGCTAGGCTGTGGGTAATGCAGGGCAGGGCTGCACCTTACGCACCTTTATGGCACAATGCAGTTCACACAATGCCACCCTGGTTATGTTTGCTGCCCTCACTATCCATTTGAAAACATGATTGTCGATATGACTTTGGCCTCCTGTGCTGGGCTCACTGCTCCTGGGTGCAGCTGTGGCTCCTTCCTGACACTTTCCTGAGCTCCAGATGTCCTTCCCTCTTCCCACTCCCACTTCCTCTTGCTCCTTCTCCTGACTCTCCTGCTCCCTCTGTCTTTTTTCAGTGACTTGGGCAGAAAGTTCTATTGCTCGCTGAATTATCATCCAGTAAGGTTTTCTTTAGAAAGGCAGCATGGCCCCAGGAGAGCAGATGGGGCCTATGCATTTGTTTGCCTCCTGGCATCACCACCTACCAACTATGTGACTTTGGACAAGTCAGTTGAACACCACTACATCCTTGTTTCCTCAGCTGTAAAAATGGGAATGGTGACATTTGTTTTTCTGGGTTGCTTGGAGAATTGATGAAATAACAGACGCAAAATACCTAAACTAGGATCGAGGCACATAGTAGGAACATACTAAACATCAGTTTCTTTCTTTTTTCCTCTGTTATTAGTTTTGATAGCAAAATGGACTGGATTTTATCTTTTTTTTTTTTAATCCAATTAACTTGCTTTGTACTTGTTCATCGAGATTATTGATTTTTTTTTTTTTCCTATGGGTCAGTGGCACTCTCAATAGAGGAAAAACAGTTTTCTCAGATACTGAGATAATAAAATCTGAAGTACTTCCTCATTCATATTAAGTTCTGATACCTATCCTGAGCAAGAAGAGCAGAAAGAGAGTGTCCCTGAACCCTGGCCACACCTTACAATCATCTGGGGAAATGTTTGAAAAATACTGGGTCTCCAGCCAGACCAGTAGAACCTTTGGGGTGGGGCCCTGGCTTTGGAGTTTTGGAAAAAGCTGTTTGGAGATCCTGCATTGGGGTTGCAGCCAGGGCGAGAAACAATTGTTACAAATGCTCAGGTTCTGATTTCATTTCAGTTGAATCCTTTATGGAGACTCCTCCTGTCTCTAGAAGCTTCAGCGGGGGAGTAACAGTTCTGAGTCCTACTCTGTGCAGTGGCTTCTCCACTGGTACCCATGTCGAGGCCTTGAGGTGACAGCCGCAAGGACAAGTGGCATATGAGGCAGGGAAAGAGCATGCGGATGCAGTTTTCTGGTGTCAGTGGCCTTGAGCTATGCATATGGGATGCTCTCAGCGCACTCTGCTTTATTAAACAGCAAGCAGGAGCCAGCAGAACTATTTAACACATAATTACATGTCTAATCTCGCGTAAAATTGTAACACTAATGACATCACAGCAGCAACTTAAAAGGTCACTCTGAGCACAGAAATTTAGGAATGCTTCTAATCTGTGAGACTTTATCTTTGCAGATGGCAAATTATATGTTCTCCATAGGAACTGAGTTGTTTTGGCTTCAGGGCCTTTGGAGGGAGAAGCCAAATGTATGGTGATAATTTTAGACCTAGTGATTGAATTTAGAAAACACTGGTCCATCTTAAGAGCAGTTTTAAATGTCTTGGGGATGTTTTTTTCTCAAAATAAACTACTTCGTCTTGTTTTAATTCATTTGGGTGTCCATTTGTTGGCATTTCTTACATGTCTTGTAGGTGCCAGGCACTGTACTGGGTGATGGGGGCACCACGCCACCGTATCTGCTTCTAAGGAGTGCACCATCTATGGAGGAGTCAGGATAATAAATCAACACGCCCTCTACCACAACTGTTCTTTCTAAAGGGTGCTGTGACTTCCCAGTGGGCATATCTA